TCCTAGCTACTTGGTTGGAAATCAGGGGATTGAGGTTCAAGACCAGCCTTGGGGAACTCTGAAGATTCCATACCAACCAATGGTAGAGTATAGTGGCACATACTTGTCATCCTAAACTACTTGGAGAGGTACAAATAGGAGAGCTTCATGACCCTGTGTCAAACAATGAATGCAGAAAGGACTAGCAGAGTGGCTCACATGGTAGAGCACTTGCCTATCAAACCTGAGGCACTGAGTTCAAACCCTAGTCCTACCACCAAAAATGAACATCATACAAATAAAACTACCTAACAAACCCAGATCCAGAAAGATTCCATAAAATGCCAGGCCTGTGAACTTCAAAAGTACCAATGTCTTCAGGCACAAAAAAAGCTCAGGTATTCTTCCAGGTTTAAACTGAACACAAGGCACGACCGAGAATTTTCCATAAAAGATGTTATTGGGAGAATTGATGAAATCTAAACGAAGCCTTGTAGATTTGATAAGAATATGACTTTCTTGGCTTTGCTTATTATAGTATGGTTGTATAGGGAAGATCCTTGTTTATAACAAAGTATTTATACACCCAGATCATCCCTGGTTATAGAGATTTCATGTCTGAAATAAACTCAGACAGTGGTTGGGGGGGAGTGGAAAGAGGAGGACAGACAAATAATGGTAAAAAGATTGTCTAGGCAGAGGAGGAACAAGAATTCTTTCTACTCTTCTTGCAACTTTTCGACATTATGTCAAAAATAAAAAGTTAACCAATGGCTGGGCAGAGAAGCTGAGATGGGTATCGATGACCGGGGTCTGTTCTGTGGCCTAAGGTTTGTAACTCCTTGTCTCTCCATAGCCTAAGGAGAAAGAGAATGAATAGCCCCGTTTCTTAGATGCAAGTCAAAAGTCAGAGCCCTTAGCAATGGGCCCATGGTTGACTCTGATCTTTGGGGTACAGAGGGCACAGACAAAACAAAGGCATTTCTTCCTCAAGGGCAGGCCCTGGGAGAGAACCAAACAAGGCCCAGAGAGGGATGGACTAGGAGCCCTAGGATTTCAGGGCTCTACTGTGCCAAGCTGGGGTGCATCAGCTTGTGGCTTCTAGGTGTCGGAGTCATCTGTGCTGGTCAAGGTGGTCTTCAGCAGGGGGCCATAGGCATGGTTGGAATGCCTAGAGCCAAGGTAGGCATGGCCAGGGGGAATGGGAATGCTCTGAGCAGAAACCATGGAGACAGCGTTACCTGGGGGCTGTCAGGCTCTGTCCTCCGGGAAAGCATGTGCCAGCAGACGGGCAGCCTGGCTTGGGCTAGGCAGGCAGGTTGCTGGCCTGCTGTATGCTGTGGAGGTCAATGTAGAGAGGGCTTCTCTCCAGGCTGAGGGGGAGGTAGGAGGGGTGTGATGACCTCTGGCAGTCCCTTCCCATCACTGGACTGCCTGGCTGTGCCCCAGATTACAGGACCAAGGGTGAGTGTCTGGCCACCAATGAGTCAGGCCTGGAGGCTTCTCCCACAGTCTGTCTGCTTCCCTCCAACATCCCACCCTGGTGGAGAGGGATTGTTGGGACTTTGGCTTGACTCCTTTCAAATGTTGATCTCCACTCCACCCTGAGATTTGGGGGGTGACACGGGTTTAGGGAACTCGTTCTTTAAACCAAGCTTAGTATGTATGCTGTGCCTGAGCATGTGCTGGGGGCGGGGGGGGGGGGGGGTGCGGGTATATATGCCAGTACAAACAACTGCCATTGTAAAATAGGAGTGTTTTCATGGGTGAGTAGTAATTACTGGGTAATGCTTTAAAACCTTTCCTGAAGGAGTGCAAAGCTGTTTTTTTTTTTCTTTTCTGAAGTCAGGAGTACATTAAAAGGATTACCATGTAGATTTGATTTTTAGATAACACTAAAATGGATCCCAAATGGACTTCAGTAAAGGGATGCTATCTCCCTAATGGAAAGTGCATGGCCTGAGGCTGGGCTCCCAGAGCCAGGCAAGGGGGAGGGCCAGCAGGTCTGCAGGGGGCAGGCTGGGGAGGCCTGGCAGGGAGTTGAGGACCTGGGGGCTCTCTGGGAAACATCTCCATCCATTTGGGGAGCACAAGGCTCCCAGCTAGTTTCATAGCTCCTTGGCCTTCCCAGGAGTGCTGTCAAGGCTCCTGGCCAAGGCCAGCAGAGGTGACACCAGCTGGTGCTTTCTTAGATGGAAGGAAAGGGAGAAGGGAGCCTCCCTTTGCCACACCCTCCCCCTCTTGTGAGCCCCTCCCCCCACTCTTGGCCTTTCAGGAAGAAACAGGGATAGTTTGCATTTTCCTTGCTACAGGTAGGAGAACTGAGGCCCAAAGAGGCCAGGGCAGTGGCCATGGGGTGCACAGATCTGGGGGCCAGGCTATAGGCATGCTGTAGGGCAAGCTTCACCCCCAACCTTAGCCTTTCCAGGCGGAAGATTCTCTTTGGTCTCTATTCTTGCCTTGGCGCTCCATTCCCTGACGGACAGAAACCGTGCAGCTTCTGTGCAGAGGTCAGGCATCAGAGTTACGCATTCCCACATGAGAAGTGCCCAGACCTTGTAGATAGCCTGCACATGGGGTGGAGAGAAAGCCAGGGAAAGCTTGTGTGATCACTCTTCTTCCAGGTGCCAGGCCACACCAGTGATGGGATTCAGGCCTGTGGCCTGGCCTGCTGGCCTCAGCCTATCCAGATAGAGGAGAGAATCTGAGAGACACTTCTACTTCTGGGGGTCTCCACTGTCTCTCCCCTTTCATCTTGAGGTCTAACTTATTGGGCTAGGGGTCACCCCTGTGTATTCTTGTTTTTGCAGCTCTCTTCCCCACTTCTCCCTGCCAGGAATCACACAAGCCGAGGCCTGGTAAGGGCCTGAGAGATGCATCAGTATTTTAACTGCATAGCTCTGTGGCTGGGTGCTCATTCACCGTCCCCCACCCCCAGGCCCTGGGAAGTGATGGTCCTACTCTTGGAGCTCCAGGCTGCCCTCAGGTTTAGATTCTTTTTTTTTCCCCCATCAATTTGGTTTACTTGTTTTTTTTTTTTTTTAAAAATTATTATTAGCGTACATTAGTGATACAGTGGGGGATTTCACTGTGACTTTTCCACGGGTGTATATAATGTATTCCCAAATTCAGCTATTTTAGAACTTCTCTCCTAGTTTCTTTGTCCCTGGTTCCTCTCTGTAGGCCAGATCTTGGAAGCTGCCTCCCCAAGACCCCAGCTCTCAGAGGACCGGCTTCACGGGCTCCTCAAGAGCCCTGTGACCAGGCCAGCCCTGTTAGATGAGACACAAGCAGGCCGGGGGCAGCATCATTCTGAGCTCCATCCCTCTCTCAGACCAATTAACCTTTAGAGCTGCATTAAGGAAATTAGGCAGCAAACTTCCCAGCTAACAGACTGGGGCCCTCAGGGACTGGAGGAGGGAGAGAGAGGAGGGAACTAGATGACCTCCTCACACTGCAGCCTGCAGTACATCCCTGCCTTGTCCCCTTCGGTCCTGGGCATTGCAAGCCTGGCCCCCTGGTCCTGGGGATACCCTCTTTCTCCAGCAGAAGTCTGATGGGGAAATCTGGGCTGAGACAGCACAGGAAAGGGGAAGAAGTCCCAAGGCCACTTGATCGATGATATATACTAATCTAGTTGACCATCTGGGCCTCAGTTTCCCTATCTATAGAACTGGGGAAATGCCTCAGTTTTCCTATCTGTAGAACTGGGGAGATTGACCTAACACCTATACATCCTGAGACTGAGACCCCTTGGCTGCTGATTTTCCCCTGAAGTTTGAAGAATGTCCACCCTGGGATGGGAAGAGGAGAGAGAGAGAGAGAGAGGACAGAATGGGGGGTCAGGGAATAGAAGCTTCGCTCCAGCTCTGGAAAGCTTTTGGAGAAGCTGGGGATGGTGGTTAGATGCCAGGAAAACTGGAGAGAGCTGCTTGAGGAAGGAATCTCCCCTGACCCGTGCTTTCACGAGGGGTTGCTTGTGAAGCAGAGGTTTGGCTTCTGAGACCACCTGTGGCTCCTTCCCAATTCCACCTTCAACTCAGTGAATCATCACAGCTCCCTGTTGATGCCCAGGCTCCAAGACAACATCTGTCCCCATGTCCTCCCCAGCTGCCCTTCCAGATGGCCCTAAGCTAGGGTGGACCTAGGCACAATTCATCCATGCCCGTGCCTGCCTGGTATCCTGGGGAAGAGGGTGCTCACCTGCCAGGAGCCCCCTGCTTATGTTGAGAGCCCCACCTTTTGTGCTTGGTTCTTTCTTAGATTTTCGAAAGCTCCCAAATGCCAGTAGCTCAGAGATTCTTATCCTGACTGGATGAACCAGAGCCTCTTAGTCCAGGGCAGTTGAAGTTGGACTCTGGCTGAGGGGAATATGAAACAAGTCCACTCAGCTGCCTCTTTTAACAGGTGTCTAGAGCCTTCCAGCCAAGTACCAGTCAGGGTTGGCTGTAGCTTCCCAGATCAGAGGAGACCACGGTGTGTCCATCGATGACGCTAGGAGCTCTAGAGCCTCCTGCTTCCTCCGAGGAGTCTCCCAGGAGCCCCGCACTTCCTTCCTCACGTCTGCTGTTCTGCAGGCAAGAGGCTCTGCGGGACTAGGCTGAGATTGTCCAGTACTCCTTGCTCACTGTGAAAAGTTGGCAAGAATGTGCGAGTTCTAGTGGACCTCATCCACAGAATGCTGGTTGTGTCGGTAGGACTTTGAGACTCACTCTGTCAGATGGCACAGGGGACAGAGGTACTGTGCTGCTAGGCTGGTCCTGTGCCCTAGAACAGAGTGGATTCAGGGCTCCTATGGAGGAATCTCCCCAGAATTAGGGACAAGCCATATCATGCATCCATAGGAGAGGGTGGGGATCCCCGGTCAGAGGAGGAGGGTCCTTGGGAGAAAGTAGACAATCATGGCTCCTGGGAGCCCTGAAACTAGAAGCAGTAGAGAAAAGTAGCAAACTCCCCATTCCCAGAACAGGGGTGTAGCCCAAGGCCCAGAGTCCTGTATCCATCTGTCTGTCTATCCACAGGTGTGCCGATGCTCTCCGTCCAGCCCAAAGGGAAGCAGAAGGGCTGTGCGGGCTGTAACCGCAAGATCAAGGACCGTTACCTGCTGAAGGCACTGGACAAGTACTGGCACGAGGACTGTCTGAAGTGCGCCTGCTGTGACTGCCGCCTGGGTGAGGTGGGCTCCACCCTCTACACCAAGGCCAACCTCATCCTGTGCCGGCGTGACTACCTAAGGTGGGTCCCCACTGCCAGCCTCGAAGCCCAGGCCTGCTCACCATCTCCAGCATCTGTGCAGGCCCATGAGACTCCGCCCTGGCTCTGCACCCTGCATGCATGGTCACATGGCCCTCCTTCACCATCTCACCCTGGTCTCCGGTGCCCTCGATGCCCCAGGAGCCACCGCAGGGCAGGCCCGTGTCTTTAACTCCTTGGACTCAGGGAGCATCGTGCCAGGCAGGCATTTATTAGCTCTTGGGGACCAGCCTGGCTTCGGCTTTTTCCAAGGAGTTCGGATCCAGCTCTTTCCTGCATACATACTGGGAGGGGACACCTCCGAGGGCCTTGGAGAAACAAGTGGAGAGGTTCAGACCTGCCCGCCCCTTCCTGCCCACTTTTCTCCCAGATCCCCCAATTCCCTCCCTTTTTAGGCAGTCAAGGTTGAGGCTCCCACTTGCCTTGGGAGCTTGGCAGAGAGCCATCGCTGAGGACAAGGAGCACAGATGCTTTAGACTTGGGTTTGAACTAGCTCTCATCGTTGGCTCTCATCTCTCAGGCTTGCTTTACTCCCTTGTAAAGTGAAAAAAAAAAAAAAGAATCACCCTTCCGTGCTTTGCATTCCTCAGAGTTCTGACACACCTGCCCCCCCCCAACAACGTGGCTCCCATCCCCTGGGGCTGCCCCCCCCCCACATTAACCCTCCCTGAGGCCATTTATGACATCAGCAAGGCTGGAAGGAGGCCGCAAAGCAGGGGCCTTGGCTGAGACCCAGCGCCTGCATTTGGCTCTGTCTGCGGCAGGCTGCAGGATTGTGGTTGGGCCTTGTGGGGAGAGAAGGCCCATCTCATTAATTAACAGGTCAGGGCCAGGCCTTGTGGGGCTTCCCCCCCTCTGCTCAAGTCAGGGCAAGATGGGAGGGGGCAGGGTTATCAGTGGAAGCCCCCCAACTTTCCTGAAGAGCTTAAGATTTATCTTTCTGTACCTTTTTTGTTGTTGTTGTTTTTTCCTTTTAGCTTCCGCCCTTTGTAGGCGTTTTAAGTGATACAATAAAACAGGATCTGGGGCTTCGCTCAGTGTGAGAGTGGAGGAGAGAGGCAGGGAGGAGGGATTAGCAGTGCTCCTGGGAACTCACCTGTGCAGGGCCTGACAAAGATTTAAGGTATCTACCCAGGCACCTGAACCTGCCAAGCGAGGGAGAGATGTCAGGCCATCTGATAACCCACAGGGCCTCGGGAAGGAGGACCACAGTGATCATGACATTCTGGGGCCTGTTAGCTACTAGAGGCTGGAAAGAGTTGTTTTGGTTTTTTGTTTTGTTTTTTCACAGTACACTGACAGAGGAGAGGACAAACTTTGGAGGCCAGGTTAGGCCAGTGGACCAGTTTGGAGGTGTGGCTGTTCAGAATGCTCCCCTCTGTAGCAGATGCTGGGGTCTAGCCTTTGTCTGCCTTTATCTGAGCCACCAGGCAGCTCAAGCTGATGAATAATGGAGCCAAGCTCATCTGCAGGGCGCCTGAGCCTGAGCTGGACAAATCAGGGATTAGAGGGGCCTTCCACCTGCCTCTCAGCCCTCGTGTCTTACTAGGAGCTTGCTTGGTCCGGGTGCAGAAGAGAAACAAGGCAGGGCATAGATGGCTGAAACCATTGGAACACCCATCCAAGGACTGGCCATTCTGGCCATTTCCTAGAGCTGTGCAGCCAGCCCCGCAGCAGCTGGAGGAGAGAGGCCCACCTGAGAGACAGTTGTGTCAGGTGCCTTTGGAACTTATTAAGCATCAGTTCTGCTTAAGAAGTATCTTCAGACAGGACTGTCCCTATTTTATAGAAAAGGGGTTTAATAAAAGGCCAAAGGGGAGTTAACAAAGCACTGTGGAAGTTGAGAGGCTTCATGGTGTGTGGTGATATAGAACCCCACCCATCCTCCATTCTGGAGGAACAGTCTGAATCCTTGACACAGCTCACCTCCTGTGACTCATTCTTCTTAACTTAAAAATTGGGATCAAATGGAGGTGATCGTTGTAAGTGGTTAGAACAGCACCTGACCCACAGGAACCTTGCCCAGTGGTTTTCCAAATACATTGTGACTAAAAGTTTACAACAGTCTTCACAGCTCTATGCAGGGTGTATTATTTTGGTCTTTGTGTCTGACAATTGAGTTAAATAGGGCTCAGAGAGGCTCAGAATGACTCAGTGATTGCCTGAGGACACACAGCCTATGATGAGCAGTCAGCCTCTAAAATGTAGGCTTGTTTATGTGTGGAGCCCTTGCTCAGACCTCAGCCAGTGATGGGGGGCTGCATATGCTTATGAGACCCGAGTAGGAACCTGGAAGATGTTGGGATAAGCAATGTTAATTGACCCCTTTTCCCCTACCCAATCTCCTAAAGAATCTGGGAATGAATTTTCCTGAAGCCTGGTATCTTGGCAGGAGCTAGCTGATGACTATTAGTCCTTTTACCTTTTGGCCCAGGCCTTCCTGACATGCTCACAGGGCTGGGGATTAGCAAGGCCTGAGAGGAGGCAGCTCCCTGGCAGGCCCTGAGCCCTCTGTGTTCTCCCCTGGCAGGCTCTTCGGCACCACAGGGAACTGTGCAGCCTGTAGCAAGCTGATCCCAGCATTTGAGATGGTGATGCGGGCCCGAGACAATGTGTACCACCTCGACTGCTTTGCCTGTCAGCTCTGCAACCAGAGGTGAGTACAGACCCAGGAGTGCCCCAGTGCCTTTCCATAGACTGCAGCCTGAGGCCTGCTGCCTGGGCCGGGAATCCTGTAGAGGCATGAGTGCAAAAGTGCAGTCTATGTGTGAACATAGCTAAGTGCTCACATTGTGAACATGCGTGTGCATATGCTTATTTGTGTGGCACTTTTCTGTGCCATGCATGAGTTTTCTGTGTGTCTCTACCAGTGGGTACACATGCATAAAATCAATGTGCACATGTGCATGGGGTTTTCAACTGTTCATGAGCAAGGTGTGTATACTGGGTGTTACAGGGTATGCATGTGAATATATGTTTTAAATATGCCTGTCCAAGGGGTGATGTATGTGGGCCCTCTATCCCTCTATCTAGTGAGAAAAGGTTCCCAAACCCACAGGGTGAGATTTCTTTAGGGAATATCACACGCTCCTGATGCCATTTCTGTGAATCTGGTGCCAGTGCAGCTTCTTCTGAGATCTTTCGGGCCCTACTCAGTGCCCCAGTCCTGTGGGAGACCCAGGGGGATTTAAGGAGCCAGTCTTTCACCCCAGGCTAGGGCCTGTCATCACCGAGAACACAGGGACTTTTCCTCAGGAGTCCCCACATCAGGTATGAACCTATACAGACGTCTCCAAGGGGTGAGGGCCCGAGGGACCAACTTGCAAGAACTCCAATTTGGTTGTGCACTCCTGTCAGACCCACTACGGGGAGGGCTCGGTGAAGTTACAGCGCCACCTGGTGGTTGAACTTGGATATGGTGACACTGAGCCAGTGACCTGCGGGGTTACGGAAGGTCTTTAGGGAACATTTTTAGAGGGAAGTATTGGAACACTCCCCCATCCAATACTTGTAGAAGTTTAGGAGGCCAAAACAAGATCTTTCTTTGGTAGGAGAAGAAATGGGCCAGGGTCAGCTTCCAGGATGACGGTCTAGATTACGTACAGAGTCTGTATCCCCTTCACTCAGCCGTCCTCTGAAGTTAGGCGCGTGGGATGGAAGAATAACCAACCATTCTCTTCTTCTTTGCTTTCTCATTCCTCATTCCCCATGCTCCATCTTTCTTCTCTTTCTCTCTCTCTGTGAGACCGGGGTAGTTTCGTTTCCATTTTCACACCTCCCTAGGAGAGTTGATGGTGGGAGGCCCTGCTTGACCGTCTGTCCTACCAAGCCAGTTTACAGGGCCTGGCTGAGGGTGACTTCCCAGGTTTGCTGTACCTTTTCACAACTCCTTCTGGAAGTTCAAGAGGCACATCTCTCTGCACCACCATCTCCCCTGTGTCGCAGCTCCTTGGTCAGGCTGGGTCCTGCCACGTACTGGGAAGCTCACCCCATCGCTTCTTTCTCTCACTTGGATTTTCTAGGTTTTGCGTGGGAGACAAATTCTTCCTGAAGAACAACATGATCTTGTGCCAGATGGACTATGAGGAGGGGCAGCTCAATGGCACCTTCGAATCCCAGGTTCAGTAACACCCCGTGCCTGGCCTCCAGGCCCAACCATCCGTCTCCCTGCCTGCCCACCCACCTGGCAGGCCAGCCAGCCACTCTGCCCGTGTGGGCTGGCCAGCTGCTGTCCTGCCAAGTTAGAACGTCTCCATCCTCGATGGGAGGGTGGCCCTTCCTCCACCGCCACCGCCTGTCTGTGTGTAACCCCTTCCTGGGGCCAGGCTGGGCCTGTACAGTCTGTCTTCTGTATATAAATGGGAACATTTATTTTATGAGAAATGTAATGCGATTTTATTACTGGCGTGGATTAAACTTATGAATGTTTCCGGGGATGTTGCTCTGCGTTGTTCACATGATTGACCTAGACTTGGGGACCCCCCCACACCTCGGCCCCTCAATGGGAGAGCATGGAGCCGTGGGTGGGACCTCCAGCAGATGCTGTTGCCCAGCAGACATGCCAGGTTGGCTTTAGAGAGAAGAAGCTGGAAGGAAAGGAACAATTCAGAGGCCCTGAACCATAAGTGAAGACTGGAGTATTGCCCCTTTTCCTGGGCAGAGCACACATCCTCGCTCTGAGAAGATCTCTCAGAAGAGGGGGAAGATGAAGCCCCGTCTCCCTGTGATCTATTCCCCTCACTAGGATTCCAGGCTGCCTACCCAGAGCTGGGGACCTTGCTCTGACCTTCTCCACACTGGGACTCACATCCTGGACCCCTCACCCTAGATGTGCCCTCCCCAAACCTCTTTGCTTTTAAAGTGACAGACAGTGTTAGTTGTCTGTGGGGCTGACCCGGGGCCCATCTTCCTGGTTAAAAAAAAAAAAGGACAATCCAGTTTCCCTTCAACTCAGCCTATGCAGGTTGGAGACATCTAATCAGGCGGAGTCTGTCAGTAAACCTCTATCTATTCTATGCTGTAAATGGAGCTGATGGAGAGCAAACCAGACCTGAGGCTGAATTCCAGATGAGACATAGTCTTTGCCCTTGGCAAGTTGAATTTGTCATGGACCTGGAAGGTAGAAGCCAGTCAGGGAGGAAGCCAAGAAAACAAAAGCACATCCTGTGAAGACAGAATGCTGTAGGGAGGACTAAGAGGCCAGTTCCTTTCAGCAGACACAGACTGCTTACACAGTCAGGACAGACCATCCATGGACACATGGTCAGACAGACACATATGCCAGAAAGTAGGAGAAACAGATAGGCAAGCCAGCAGGCACTCATCCCAAGCCAGAGACGGCCAGACCTCCAGTAGACTGACTCCAGCCCAGACAAGTTTGTATGGCCAGTGGCCCAGTCCATGAGAAGGGATGGCTAGGCCTAAGGATCTTAGGGGCAAGAGTTCTCCACTTTGGTGACACACCCATAGATGTGTGAGAGAAAAAAGGCAGAGAACCAGCCAGTCTGGCTACAGTGGCTGCTGTGGTTTACATGGCTGTGGAGCAGGCCATGTGTGATGACATCAGACTGGGGACAAGTCTGAGTGCACAGAGAGAGACCTGAAGGGTGACAATCCATAATAAGGAATTTTCTCATTCAACTTGAAAAATCAAATTATTACTGGGTGCTGATGGTTCCCACCTGTAATCCTTGCTATTCAGGAGGCTGAGATCTGAAGACTGCCATTCAAAGCCAGCCCAGGCAGATGATTCCCTGAGACTCTTATCCCAATTAACCAGCAAAAAGCGGTATAGCTCAAGTGGTAGAGTGCCATCCTTGAGCAAAAAGCTAAGCAAGAACACAAAACCCTGAGTTCAAGCCCCAGTGCACACATACGGATGCACCCACTCAGGTGCGTGTGCACGTGTGCACACAAACACAGACCTAATTTCCTGCATTGTAGAAGGTTCCCCAGAGCCAGACCTTCTCTGACCCCTTAGGCCGAGGATGCCTATGTCTATCTAAAGGGTCCCCATCCTAACTTCAGAGTTTGCTGCAGATAAAGTTGTAACACAAGTTAATTACATGCTTATGGAGAGATAACAGAGCCACTTGAATGCAGTTTCTGAGCAATTACAATTGTTTCCAACAGAGTTACCATATTGCAGCCATGAAATAACATGTCATTTTGCAGTAATTATGTAATTAACTTGTCTTACCACTCTAGGTTGTGCAATTAATTCACTCACAATGAGATAGACTCAAAATCAAGCAGGCAGGGTTTGAAAGGTCCCCAGGAGCAGAGCTGGCCACTCTGTCCACCCCAGACCTCATCAGAGAGCTTCCAATGTTCAACACGCACCAAATTACTTCTGTCCAAGAAGTGGGCACAATCTGATTCCCAGGTCAGCCCTGAGGCCCACATCTACAGTGTGAAGTGCTGTAGACTTGAGCTAGAGCTCCCACCGTGGATATCATGGTGGCCTGAGTAGGAAACCCCTCAGCAGAAAGTTCTCTGTCTGCTTTGAAGAAGTTACACAGGCCTAGCCTCATCAGGTATGAAATGAATAGGCAGATAGGAGAGGGGCACCAGACACCAAACTCTGCCTTTAAGCCAAGCAACTGAGGCAAGGCTGGAATGGCTACCAAGATCTGAAGGGTACACACCAGAAGAGGAGTCAACCCTTCAAGGATGGCCCCGGTAAAGCCTGGCCATCCTTCCAGCCACTGTGAGGAGAAACTTGGTTCAGTGTAAGGTAAGATGTGCCTTGTTCTGGCCTGACTCTGTGTGGGTCTGCGGTTCAGGGGGAAGAGGCCAGAGAGAGCTGATCAGGAACCATTAGAGGCTGCAGCAGCTTGAGCCCAGAACACATCGGTGCTGGTGAAATGTTGCAGCCACAAAGGAGTCCTCTTTATTCACAACCAGCCCACGGGACCTATCTCTCCTCCCTCCCTTCCTGGCTTCCACAGAATATAGTATCTGGCTTTTCTCTTGGTCTGAAACTAGACCACACACTCCCAAAGTATGGAGAGAAACCTGGTTTTCACAAAAAGCTGCAAAGCTTATTGGGAAATTTCACATGGGTCCTGGGGTCCTGTCTCCTTCCAGGCCTGGTCCCATAAATGTTGTCCTACATCCCATGAATGGGCTGCCACCAGCAGCCATGTGATATGCCTGCCTGTGAGACATCATGTTTGTGAAGTGCAAATCGGCTCTGTCCCTTAATCCTGTCGGAGACCATTCGTAACCAAGCTTTCTATATTCTGGCACTCAGTGATCCCCAGCATAACACATGTGGGGTGGGTACCATGGAGAGAAGGCTCCAGAAGGATGCTTCCTAGCTGTAGCTGTGGGTCACCCTTGGAGAGAAATGCCAGTGAGAGATTGCTGTCAGCGCATGAGTCAATATTTAGCTATCTGTTACTGCTAGGACTAGAATTTCCTGAAAATGAATGAATAAAGATGAGCTGATATTGAAGATGGGTTGGTTCAGGAAAATACTTGGTCAAGCGTGGTTTATCATGAAAAAAAATACTCTGATGAAACACACACACACGCACACACACACACACACACACACACACACGTTCACATAGAGAGCGGGGATGGGTGTGCAGAAAAGAGCTATTACTCAAAAACCTCATCTCTGCACTTGGCCCTGGAGGCAGGCTTTCATATTGCTTTATCCCAACAAGGATAGTATCCCAGATCTTCTCAGACCCTGGGTACCTGAGTAGTTGCTGCTCCCCCCTGCCTTCATTCTAGGGTTTGGACTCAGTCCTCACACTTTCTAGACAAGGGCCCTACCCCGACTTGAGCCACACCTCTACCCCTTTTGTGTCCACTTCTTTGAATGGGGTCTTCACTCACACTGGCCTCGAACAGAGAAGCTCCTCTCTTTCTGTCTCTCTCTCTCTCCTCTGTCTCTCTCTCTCCCTCACTCTCTCCCTGCCGCTCTCTCTCTCTCTCTCTCTTTCTTTCTCACCCCCCCCTTTTTTTTTTTGGTCGGTCATTGGGCCTGAACTCTGGGTTTGGGTGCTGTCCCCAAGCTCTTCAGCTCAAGGTGAGTGCTCTACCACTTGAGCCACAATGCCACTTCCGGTTTTCTGGTAGTTAATTGGAGATAAAAATCTCACAGATTTTCTTTCCTGGGCTGGCTTTGAACCGCAATCCTCAGATCTCAGCCTCCTGAGTAGCTAGGATTACAGGTACCAGGCTGTTCCTATCTTTTTTTTTTTTTTTTTAACAAACATGCAACACCAAGCCCAGTTAAATGGATTGCTCTTGAACTTCCTCTTCTGGGTGTCATTTTTGTTACCTAGCAAGAGTCAGTCCGTTCATACCAATGGGTCTGTCTCCAACTTGGCAGAATCTCTTGGTTCTTACTGTTATGTTTAGCTTCCTTAAAGGCCCCATGTCACCAGCACAGACAGATCTTTCCTCTTGACTGAGTCCAGTGCTCAAATAAATGTCCTGTCAAACCTCTTCCTACCCTGTAAAATCTCCTCTGCCACCTGTATGCCCTTGATGGAGCTCCTTACACTTGAGTCATTCCTTTGTTCCCTCTTGGACCAGGAAGAGAGAAGGCAGTTCTGCCCAGAGCAGTCATCCACGATCTGGAGAGAGGTGAAAGGAAAGGGGGAAAGGGCCTGAGCCTAGGGCGGGCTCAGGGAGAGGGAACTCCTGCAGCCCAGGAGGAGGAAGCCTTGAAAAAAAATGAGTCTCTAATGGGATGGATGGGAGACAGGCTCAGATGGATTTGGTCTCTCCCAAGGGTTTGGTCTCCTTCATGAGAGCTGTGGAAACCTTGCTGCTGTACTTTCCCCCTACCTCAAACAAATTTCTCCCTCTCTTCAGATCCCAGGATGTCTACCTATTACTGCTACCTGGATCCCAATGTACCAAGTTTATTTGTTATGGGCCTAGAACAAATAGTCAGATGCTGACCTTGGGATATTCAAGCATTGTGGCCTTTGCAGTCCAGGCCCTTAGGGGTTCTGAAGTCCTTTGGCTGCCTAAGGCATTGGTTGGTGTGGCTTTTCCTCACTCTACCTCAATTTCCTTCATCTTGTCTGCACACAACCAGATTCCAGAAAGCTGTGGTGCAGAGATCCTTCCCAGACCTTAGTTACAGACTCTTGCTTCCTGATCTGCTCTGTGAGCAGAGTGGGGGACCTGCTGAGGGGTGGAAATTGCCTGTTGCTCAAGCAAGTTCAAGTTTTCTCTCAGAGGCTGGAGATGGGGGACAGAGGTAGTTCTGGGTCCTGCTACTGGTTCTGGTGGATCGCCTCTCTTCATTTGGGAAATAACGGGGCTCACCCCACATGGGTTAGAAGATTCCTCAGAAACCCAGACTCTCCCCTCACCCCTTGTCCCAGCCACCCTGTTGGTCGGATCAGGGATCAGAGATAGACACAAAGGGCACATAGAACACAGAGAGGTACAAAGGGAGA